TATTATATTATTTTGTTCTGATTGCTGCCTGTATTTACTTATTTTTTATATCCTTTATTATTTTGGTTTTATTATTATGGTTGCTTTTTTACTTATTCTATTTTGTTTTCTTGTGTGTGTGTGGGGGGGGGGGTTCTCCTCTTTCCCTTCCAACAAAAGACAGCAATCATGCTCATACAGCCCAGCTACGACTGTACCCTCTGTAGTTTCACCCAAGTGGCAAGAGCCTATACCCATACCACCTGGTCAGCCATTGACAGCAGCCAAACACACGTAACCTCAGATGTACAAAGGGTGAACGGACAATACTTCTATTCCCTAACTATACCCGCAAGAGACAGTTACTGAGAGCTTAGGAACACATCATCATACAATCATCAATTAAAGACCAATATGACAATACCACAGGGCCCCAGAGACAACAGACAATTTTAGTTCACTCAAAGAATCAAGAGAAAATGGCTCAAATAACCAATATTCAGGGCCAGAAAATGTTTCTGAAGAAGAAAATGTAATGGAAATAACTGAAAAATAATTCAAAAGAATGATATTTAAGTACCTTCAAAGGACAGACAGAAAGATCAAAGAAAGCAATGAGAACACAGAAAAAAAGAGAGAGAGGAGAAAAAAAAAAACCCTCTAGAAATCAAGAACAGATGGACAAAATAAATGTAAAACGTAAACAATACAAAACTTACAAATAGAAATCCAGAAGATTAACACTAAGATTTCAGAAATGGACAATATTTGCTCTTTCCACTTTTCTTTGGAAAGAGCAAAGGTATAGATTTGAAGCAATAGAAGCCCAAATTAGTGAGCTTGAAGATAAAGCTCTCAATGCTAGTATGCTAGAAAAACAGTCAGAAAAAAGAGTTATGTGGGACACCATGAAGAAAAATAACTTACTAGTGAATAGAATTCCAGAACAGGAAGAGTCAGTAAAAAGCACTGAGAAAATTGTCGAAAAGTTGCTAAAAGAAAACTTCCCTAATATCATGAAAGACAAGAAGATAAACATATAAGAAGCTGAACAAATTCCAAACAGACTCGATCCCAAAAGAAAATCACCAAGACACATCATAATCAAACTTTTCAAAACCAAAGAAAAGGAAAGACTCCTGAGAGCAGCTCAGGAAAACAAAATGTTACCTACAAAGGAGAACCAATAAGACTAATTTCTGATTTCTCAAAAGAAACCATGAAAGCAAGAAGGCAATAAATGACGTATACAAAACTCTGAAAGAAAAAAAATTGTCAACCAAGAATCATATACCCACCTAAGCTGTCCCTCAAATATAACGGCAAAATTAGGACCTTTCCAGATAAACAGAAATTAAAGCAATTTGTAATAATCAGAGCAACTTTACAGAAAATGCTAAAGGGTGTTCTTTGAACTGAACAGAGGGAACTAGTGATATCAATTTATAATGAAGTCAACTACAAAGCAAAAAAGGAGAATAGTGTAGATACAAAACTTCCAAATGGCGAGGAAGTCAAGTATATTTCAAAATAAAACAGACTGTTTTAAACAGGGGGGAAATTAATAAATTACAGGATAGCTTCAAAAAATATGAATCCACCTTCACATCAAAATAAAGAAGAGGAAAATCAGAAAGATTTAGCAAACATTAACACGTTAGAAATAAAAATGAAAAGAAAATCCACAAACATAATCAATTTAGCACAGAAAACTATGTGAAACAAAGTATCCAGCAGTACCACAAAATAGCACACAGCAAAATAACTGCAATCAAGTCTTACCTATTGCCAATTACACTGGCTGTACATGGATCAATTGCACCACTCCATAGCAGAATGGATAAGAAAACAAGAGACT